CATGGATGAGAGTATTGAGTCTTTCATTAGTAAATTTGCAGATGACACTAAGCTGGGAGCATGTGTCAATCTGTTGGAAGAAGGGCTCTGCAGACAGACCTGGAACAGTTGGATGGATGTGCAGAATCCAGTAAGAGGAAGTTTAATTAGTCCAAATGCTGAGTCCTGCATTTTGGCCACAATAACCCACTGCAATATTATAGGCTGAGGACGGTGTGACTGGACAGTGCCCAGGCAGAAAGGGACCTGGGGGTACTGGTCAACAGCTGACTGAACATGAGCCAGCAGTGTGCCCTGGTGGCCAAGAAGGTCAATGGCATCCTGGCCTGTATCAGGAACAGTGTGGCCAGCAGGATCAGGGAGGTCATTCTTCCCCTGTACTTGGCATTGGTGTGGCCACACCTTGAATACTGTGTCCAGTTCTGGGCCCCTCAGTTTAGGAAGGACATTGAGATGCTTGAGCACGTCCAGAGGAGGGCAACAAGACTGGTGAGGGGCTTACAACACAAGATGCTTCTAGAGTCTTTGACACCTTCTAAGACAGCTTCTAATAGTGTCAGGCATTTGAGTCAATTATGGCCCATTATGACCCATCAGCAGAGATGAATACCTTCAGGCTATATGTGAATGTCCCTGATATTTCCCCAACAGGTGAGTTATTAAAACTGAGTTCACTTGAGTAAGGACAAAGAGATAGTACTCCACCTCACAGGGTTTGTCTCTTTCCTCATCCTGCTCAACACCCAGTTTGTAGCCTGAGGTGGCAGCTGTGCTCGCCCTCTGCACTGGGGTGGTTACTTTGCACATCTGCAGCTTGCCCCCTGAATGTTTGATCCATCAGCATTCCTGTCTCTTTTCCAGTATGACTTGTGGATACAGTCTTCTCAGATTTGGGATGACTGGACAATAGTACCCCCTTTATCTTATCTCAGGTTCGAGTCACAGTCCATATTCCAGTTAGTAGGCATATTTGGGGAGGGGTGGGCTTTGGTGGTTGCAGATGAAGAGCTGCTTTGCAGTTTGCTCCAGTGGGCAAAAGTCCTTTGATGATTTTAGCATTAGCCATTTTAGTCTCTCACACTATGTCTAAAGGAAAAAACTTTTCCATTGTCTGTCCTATCCCATAGCCATTTACTTTTTAATTTAACACTAAAAGTGGATGGCAAAAATGTACTGGGGTGGTGCTCAGTGCCCACATCTCTCATGTGAGGTCTAGAGATGTCAAAGAACAGAGGCTAACAGATCCCTTTAATTCTTCTTATAGATATAGATATAATCTGTTATGTCAAGACACAGCAATGTCAGACTCAGTAGATATATTAATGTTTAGCAAAAAAATTGCAAATTAGAAACCTCATTTATTCTTCATTTTTTTAAATATTCTAATCGGTTTTGATGATGAAATACATGTTAATTAGTTTTGCTTGCCTATCCTAACATACCAGGGTGATACACCGTCTTGTTCTAAGACAATTTTAAGAGGTGCGCACGATAAAATGAGTCACTTCCCCTTAGTTTCACCCAGTCCTTTTCTACCAATAAAGAGAAATGAAATATGAGTAGATATGAGTGAAGCCATGCAGTCATGTGTGGAGGGTGCCATCTTGGGGAAGGAGTTTCTCCATCATTTTTTGTTTCTCTTTGTTCCTGGGGAGTCCACAAGATTTCAGCAAATTTGTAACTAGTGATTATTACTGTTATTTTTCCTGCCTGTTGCTATTTTGCTTTTTTAAATAAACTGTTATTTTTCACTTATATTTACTGGGATTGGTTAAAACTAAAGAGGTGGTAACTTATTTTGGAGTGTCCGCCCCTTAAATTGTTTTAAATCAAGATACTTATACAGTTGTTCTTATGGCTTTCATAAGAACCAGTTATGAAGAGCTTGAAGGATACAAATTTAGACTGGACATTAGGGAACCTAAATGATTCTGTGATTATCTGCATGAAAAAGAGATTTATTTATAAATTTTTATTATTATCCCTATTTCTACAGCTTTAAAAGTTGATATCACTGTTATAAATGACAATATAATATTGGCTTTCACATTCATATACTAGCTTTTGCATGATGTTATTAAACACAAGTATTTTTGATATGGTACAATTTACACTTACTTTTTAACTGCTTTTGGGTATAGTATAATCTGTTAGTTTGTGTATGCACCATATAGTTTATATAAATAGCAGTGTGATAAAAATATTATGTTATAGATTTTAGCAAAATGTTAAAATAGAGACTATGTTATGTTAAAAATGCTTTTATATAACAAACTCAAAGAATGGTGTAAAACAATTATGCTGTTTGTCACATCTGCAGACAAGCCTCTCCAAGTGATAACAGTGACAGAAACCAGAACACCAGAGAGGATTTATTAACTACTTGTTATCAGGGAGTGTGAAACAACAGGATAGAACCACAGAAAGAAATAAAATATATAGACCTAATCTACAGAATGTTATGCAGACAAGTCAGAGGTTAAAAACAAAAGGGTTCCTGGAACAGCAAAATCTCAAAAGAATGTTTGAATAATGTATAAACTAATGAATATGCATGTAACCCCAGCAATGTAAACATATTTAGAGAACATGGTTTTAAGCTGTGTGCTCTTTGGCTATTCACCAAAAGCACCCCAGCGCTGGATATTTGTCCTTCTTTTATCCTTTATTAAACTTTAAAAAGTTCTAGAGAGTGAACTCTGCTTTTCACATCACTATGAAGTATCAGCTTTTTTGAAACTATTTAATAGTTTGTTTATCTAAAAATAATTGAATTCTGGCAAGAACTTATATTTTTCTTTTTTAGGAATGATTATTGAAACCCCTTAATGCTTTTATTGGCATGACTGGTGAGATGAGAGAACTTGCAACGGTTGTAATCAGAGATCTTTGATATCTTTGTCATCTGAGAATGCCATTTGTTTCTTTTTGACAGTGCTTATTTTTGAATGTGCAAGCTATTTTTCTTTTCATGTGACTCCCAACAAGTAATTTCTTTACATGTAATGATGTTTCTTTATGATATACAATGGGAAGAAGCAATAAAGACCATTCCTTTCTAATGGGGAACATGTAATCTAATAATGCTGTGCCCATGAGATTGTAGTCTCTTTTCCCTTTGTTCTTATTGTTACAGAAACTGTACAATAATTCATTGAAAAGAAAAATTTAAATACTTTAGCTAATACCAACTATTATCTAATGTATTATATAACTCTGATCAAATAGTGGGGAAAACCTTGATTCAACTGTTATAGATACATATTATAATATTGGCTTTTCACAAATATTAAAATGGATTTTATATGTGTGGTGTTACAGTAATTTTGTTATAAAGATATAGTTTTTATTTCTGCTGTTACTTAAGTTTAGACATAGTAGTGAAATAGCTATGCTTGTGTTAAAATGCCTGCTTGGATGGGATAACATCCAATGAACATAGGATGAGGACACCTGCTACAGATATGCCAACTATCAGCACTCACTGTCTGAAGACAGTGTGGACCAAGGACCAAACTGGAAGCAATAAGAAGGAGCCAAAACCACAGCCAAGAAACACACATGCTCTAAAAAGGCAGACCCAAGGAGAGGCCATGTAAAATGGTTCCTGGAAAATGTAAATTAGTTTATGGATATGCATAAGGGTCTATGAATATGCAACAGGCTGATGCAATGTAAAAAGTATTTAAGGGGTATCCCCAAAGGTGAAGGTGTGCTCTTGTCTGAGTTCCAAGATGCACCCGGCCATAAAAACCTTTGCTCTATGGTCATTGTCTCCTATTGTCCTTTATTAAACTTTTTTAATTTTCACAGGAGAGTGAACGTGTTTTTCACAGAACCTTGTGGGTGTAGTTTCCATTCAAGGCATTGGGCTGTGACAAGGGCTCAGTTGCTCTGAATGACACCATATAAATAAAGATGATTAATGCACTGAGCAAATAATATTTCTCTGAATCTTGGTAGTGGTGAAAGTGAAGGATGTCAGTGGATGAAAACAGAATTACTGGTGCAGATGGATGGCTTGGCCTGATCTTGTATTTGTTTCAGCAGTTTCCAATCTGCTATGGTAAAAGATGAAGAGAGTACATTTTGAATAAATTTTCATGAAATTCTAAGCACAGATAAAGATTTTATTTAGACCTTTTCAGAAAAAGCTTGGATATTTGGTTAAAGCGTTTAAAAAATAATTTGGAGCTTTTACTTTTGTCCTAGGGTAATGTTATGATGCTTGTATCCCTAGTCGTCTGTTCTGTTTATGCTGGATATTATGTTCTGTGCCTTCAAGACTGGCTCTGACAAGCAAAGTTTTGTTTTGTTATCAGCCTGCTCACTCCCCCACAGTCGGCGGGACACAGATGGCGCAGTACATAGTGCTGCTTTTGCTTTTTGCTCTTGCTTTCACTTTTGCTCTTGCTCCTGCTTTTGCTCTTGCTTTTTCTTGTTAGTTAGTTTAGCTAGGCAGTCTGCATTTTCCCTGGACTGTCTTTCTTCCCCTTTTCTTGGAACCATTCAAACCTGCTCCAGACTGGGACCTGGGAAACACCGAGACTTTGCACCTTGTGGTCTGCAGCAGCCATTCCCAGCACCGGAGGGACTGATAACAGAGCGACCACCCACCGGAGAGACTCTCTGAATTTGTCATCTCTTCAGAACAGTGAATGAGTTTTGTCATCCGGTATTGTTCATTTTGTGTGCTGGGGGGTGCTGTGCCTGTTAAATAAACAGGTTCTTTCCACTTCTCTCTGAGGAATCCTTCCTGAACCGGTTGGGAGGAGGAGCCATGTGGGTTTGCTTTCTGGAGGGGCCCCCTTTGGAGGTTTTCTCCCAAATTTGCCCTAAACCAGGACAACTTTAAACTACAATTTTTGCTATTTGCGCCTGTCTTGGTTTTGGAGACAAATTTCAGGAGGAAACACCCTAGAATGAGCGTTTCCTCTAAGGACAACGGGCTTCAATAACTTCCTTTTCTTCTGCCAATGAGAGAAATGGAAATCAGGGGATGGATGTGAAAAAAAGTAAAACTGTTTATTAACAAAGCAAGATACCCTCAAAGCACAGGGAAAAAAAATTGAACCTTACACCCTACCCCCATCTTGCCGTGTGGCCGAGAGGCAAAGATGGCAGCTGCCCTTCTTTGTCTTTGGAAGCAGGGAGAAAAGAGTTCACGCAGCATCTGGGAACCTATTGGATTTCTGGCATGGGTCTTCTCCTTGCAGCAGCTGAAGTTGGTGGATTTTAATGTCCTTTCTCGTGTTGGTTCAGTTCCTCTGAGGTCTTGGGTCCCCCGCCGCCTCCCTGGAAGGGCCGAAAAGAAAAACAAGCCAAGCTGAAAACAGTTCAAGGAGAAAAAAAACCCAGAAAGCTGCTGAGAGGATTCCCGATACAGCCTCCAAGCTAGGGGAAGGGATGGGAAAAAACTTCTGGCTTCAAGCTAGCAAAAAACCAGTCCGACAAAAGGAACAGTGCAGCGTCCCCGGTCCACCCTGTCCGGAGCATACCAGAGAGAGAGATTGAAAGGAGCCCGCACCCGTCGTTACCAGGCCCCGCCCCTTGGGTTCATCTTAAAGATACCGCAGACATTTCTGGGCATAAAGCAGATGATTAGGGAATAAAGTACCATCATAAAATCACCCCAAGACAGTGTCACATAAGAATAATCCATAATAAAGTGAACATATACTGGTCCTACTACCTGGTAATTGTTGCAGCCAGAATTGCTGCTAGTAAAATCCAGGGTAAGGAAGCAAAAAGGGCCTTTGCATAATATCCACAGATGTTTAATTCAGCCGCACGGTGAGATGTTCAGGGTCCAAGGGCACACTCATGGGGAGAGTCCAGGTTTCTGTGTCTCAAGAGGTCTGGGCTGAACAGTGGTATCGGGGCAGTAGAAAGATGAGGGCCAATGGGAATAGGGAGGGCGTGGCTGAGTGACATAGGAACAAGGGAAGGAGCCAATGGGATCTTAACAGCTTTTGAGGGAAGCTTCTTGTGTCTCTCTAACCCAGGGAATGCCTCTCAGGGTCTCCACAGGTAATATTTAAAATGGAGTATTTTACTTTGTAGGCAAGTTATTGACTATGTTTTAGCTAAGAAGGGTTTCAGCCTGGAACTATAAGGTGCTTAAAACATCTAGTGCTTAGGGAAATACCCCATACATAAATACCCCATGTTGGATTTTACTGGTATCAAATGTGACATTGAAAGGTGAGGGACACAATTCTTCAGTTTCTTCAACATAATTTAGAGTAGAAGAATAAATTATTTAGGATTGGAACTAGGGCATTTCATCACATTGCTTCTCAAACTGGGCGGGACATGTATTGAAAACAAGACAGACAAGAAAGAACAAAGTAAGAAGGTAACATTTGTAAGAACTGTGGAGGCTTGGGAGAGTCCAATATGGCTAGTGGGTTTGCAGTCTGCTGATCATCATAACACTGAGGTCTTTCTTGATATCCATAGCCCTGGCATGCAGACCTTAGTGGCCTGTCACATGTAGAGGAGTTCAAGCTAAGAGTCTGAAAAGGAAAAGATAGCAGTCTGCTTTCCAGGGAACTTCAAACTAAGGTCTGGGAAACATTTGGTGGAGCCCAATGAGGGGGTGTTCCCTGGAATTGTTACCAAAAATCGGTAAAAATACAAAAAATCTTGACACCCATGTAGTATTAAAAAGCAGACAATCTTTATTCAGCCAGATGCACGAGGGGATATCTCCTCCAAAATATTGTGCATGCTGAATACAGAAAAGCACCTGTTTCTATACAGTATTTTGCATACATATAATTGATTTTCCCAGAATTAACATACATATGTTAATCATTTCCCCAAAATCATTAACATATGTTCCCTCCCCTTAATGCATGCATTCTTCTGTCTTGGGGAGTCGCTTTGGTGGTCTCTGGTGGTCAGCAATCCCAAAGTCATACCTGACCGCTCAGTGAACTGGTAAAACTTGGCACAACAGGGCTGGTTGCTTTCCAGTTTTCCTTCTTACAGAATGGGCATTGTGCAGTTCCATAGGCCAATGGTTTTTGAAGAATAAGCACTGTGTTAGCTCACCAGGTGCAGATGATTTTTCATCTGGCAACTTTACCCCCCTTTGAGGCTTGTGAAGCTTGTCTTCTGTCAAGCTTTCATATGCCTCACTTTGCTTTTTTTACTAATGTACTTGTTTGAAAGGAAGGACTAGGTAGGGAAAATAATTTCTACAAACACATCCCAGTCTTAGAGCCTGGGACAGTCATGAGCTGCTGTACCTCAGGATTCCTACTAGTACAAGTGTATATTTGAATGCAATTCCATTTTTCCTTTGTTCTTGGATCCTTTTGCCTTGACCTTATTAAATCAGGATATTTTATACCGACCTGTAAGGGGTCCTCTGGGAGGCCTGGACTCCCCAATCTAGACACCACTGAACTGGCTGGATATATTCCCATTGTCCTGTTTGAGGGCTATTCCATATTTCTGGTATTTGACCTCCCCAAGGGGTATTAGTGCAATCTGTTGGATGATAAATATTTCCTGAGGTTATTTCCAGAACTGGTTTTGAGATATTACAATCCTCAACAGTATTGTTCTTACATGTCCATTGTAAGGAATATTCTCCTTCCATCCCTATCCAGTTGGCATGGGTACTATTTCTCCTTCCCACATGTGTTCCCAAACTTTTGTCAAATTGCTGACTAAAGCTCCCCACAGAACTGGATTTTCTGCAGAGGTTGGTGTTGGCAAACAAGCTGTTATAGAGGTTACATTCTGTAATCTGCCAAAGTCTTGGACTAACTTTAAGGCCTTATTCCCCTTCCCAGAAGTTAACAACATAAATTCTATTATTATTATTATTATTATTATAAATATGCAGTTATTCATCATCTTCATCTAGATCCATTAAATAGCATCCCCCTGGAAAATAATATTCTATACCTAAAATCATAGGATTTATGTAAAAAACCCCAAATTCCCAGTCTTAGTCTTGTTTCTGCTGTGTTTAATATGTGGTTGCTGGTTTTACCTGCGTAACATGAACTCAGGGTTCAATTCCTTCCACCTTGAGTACACTGTAGGTTACCAGGAGGACTTGGAAAGGTCCTTTCCACTTTTCCTTCAAGGGTTCAGAGTTCCAGGTGTTTACATATACAGAATCCCCAGGCTGATATAGATAAATGAGTGCATCCAAAGCAACTGGTCCCAATAGGGTTATAAATTGATGGAGTCCAGCAAAAGTTTTTCCTAAAGAAATCCAGTATAGACTTAAATCTGTTTCTCCTGTTGAATGGATTTATCCTGGAACTGATTGTGTTTGATATGGCCATCCATACAGTAATTCATAGGGACTTAGTTTAGTTTTTGACCTTGGCTGAATTCTGACTCACAAAAAAACTAGAGGCCTGTGGCCATTTTAAAGAGGTTTCTTGGCCCATTTTACTAATTTGTCACTTCAAAGTCTGAGTCATCCTTTCCACTTTCCCACTTGACTGTGGTTACCAAAGGGTGCGTAAGTCCTATTTTATACCCAGGGTTTTGCTCAGCTGTTGTACCACATCTGCTATAAAATGTGGGCCTCTATCTAAAGATATCTCAAGTGGCACCCCAAATCTTGGTATGGTTTCTCTAGGCATTAATTTTTACCACTTCTCTCAGGTTTCCTGCTGTCAGGATGACCCCGAGAGTCCTTTTTTCCCAGCCCAATGGTCGAAGAATGAGTCGGAATTCCTTGGCTCTGGTTTTCAAGGTTGTTTATTGTCTCTTATCTAAAACATTCTTTTTCTGACCCGCAGAGCTCTGTCTAGCAGGTCTGTCAAGGGCACACTGCCCGCCCCTGGGCTGGTGTCAACATTTTATACTATGAACCACATGTACTTTATTTACCATTATTTTCCAATACCTATCACCTATGTTAGACTGTCTACTTCTATCCTTAAACCAGTCCAAATGTGCCAACATCACCCAGAAGATGGAGGCTAGGAAGAAGAATGAAGAAGAATAGGACAATGCCCAAATCCCTCCATCTTGCCTCCTAGACCCCTATAGTAAAATCCCCAAAATTTCACTTTTCACCCTGTGATTAATTCATTATCATTCTACTTAAACTTTTGTGACTTGTAATTCTTCATACAAGCTTGGTAATTTGCTCCATGGGTTAAGATCGAAATCCCAATTGTCTTTGGCTTCCTGCCAGGATTCCCCAGCCCCCTGCCAGGGGCTCGGGCCATCCAGGGCACCCAGAGGGGTGTCCTGGGTTCCGACACACTTCCCTAGCTTTATTGGTGTGACAGGGAAAGGCTTCTGGCCATCTGGAAAAGGTATCTACCTATACACGTTTTGTCTGGGTAATTCAGAGAAATTGATTTGCCAATAATCTCCAGGTGAATTTCCCTGTTTAACTGTTCCAGGAGGTGGCCTTTTCCTATTTATGGGATTGATTTTTTAAAATAAATTGCACATTTTACTATTGATTTTCTATTTCAGTCATTCCCACACTAAGTACAGAGTTTGAGAGACTAGATATCATGGACTCAGTTCCCCAATGGGTTTTGCTATGTTCTTTTTTCCATTATTTTCCTCATTACAGGAGGCAGAACTATAACCCATTAGCTGTCTGTTACCCACCATCCCTCCTGATTCTTAGTGGCTTTTAATATTGTAGAAGGGCATTTGCCCCAGAAGAGCTTATTTGTTGCTTGTTAGCTGGTGAAATAACTCAGGGTATCTTGCCCTGCACATGAGCTTGCTAATTGGTGAAATAACTCAATCAGGACTGCTTGTTTTGTAGTGAGTTATTTTGGCACCATGGGAGTAATTCTTTCAGCTGACAATAGACATCCTGCTGTGGAAGTGAGATCTGGAAAGATAAGCTGGAAATTCTGACTGAAAGACACTTCACAAACTCTAAAAGCTACACCAAACTTTCACAAAGCAGAAATCTTCTGCATGTTGCTGCGCTGCTGTCAGAACCACAACAGCATGTTCCCTGGAAATGTGTGGAGCTTTCTCCCCAGAGTTGGGATGCCTACTTTGTGGTTCCTCTCCTTGGAGTTGAGGGAAAGGACTCTGTCTACGCTATTGTCAATTCAGTGGTAAGTTACATTGGCTCCTAATCTATACTATTTCTTTGCTAGCTTTAATATAGGTACCTTGAGAGCATGCACTGTTTTATGTAATCTACTAGTAGTTCTTTCTGGTTTATGCTGTGTAGTAAGTAACTGTTTAAGGCCTTTTGTCTGTTATCTCCTGTCTATTCAATAAATAACTCATTTTATAATAGCACTGATCTGCCATTCCTAAGAACTTGCAGGCTAGAACAATTTTAGGTGTGGGTCGCGTAAATTTAAGCTGCTGCCAAAAATCTGAAGCTAAGGTAGGGCTTGTCTGAAGCTCCTGTTTGATCCATAACAAATATATTTTCTAAGCATTGATCCTCACTGTCATAATTAGGCTTAAATTCAGATATGTAAATTTGGTTTTGTGGCACTAACGCCAGGATGTCTTTTTCACCTACTCCTTGAGCTGCTTTGTTTGCGAATCGGTATCCCTCTATAACATTAGTTTTTCCAGATTGATGTGCTTTGCAATGCATCACTGCCACCTCCTTTGGTTTTTTAATTTCTTCCAAAAGTTATACAATTTCTTCTTTGTGTTTAATAGTTTATCCTTGAGCTTATAGCAGTCATCTCTCCTTCCATATAGCTCCATGGGCATGAATCACACCAAATGCATACCTAGAATCAGTCCAAATATTTACTCTTTTGCCCACTGCCAAGTTCAATACTTGTTTTAGTGCTATTATCTCTGCTTTTTGGACTGATGTGCTAACTGGTAAATATCAA